GATGGATGGAAGGATGTTGTGTCTTTTCAGCTATCTCCGACTCTTTGTGATCCCATTTGGGGTTTTCTTGGCAAAGATACTGGAGCAGTTTGCCATTTCCTTCTCCAGCTCATTTTACAGATGAGGAAACTGAGGCAAACAGGGTTGAATAGCTTGCCCAGGGTCACACAGTTATTAGTAAGTATCTGAGACCAGATTTGAACTCAAGAAGATAAGTCTTCCTGACTTCAGGCCCAGCACTCTATGCACTATGGCGCCACCTAGCTGCCCCCTTTATTTATGTGGGTAATATCTATCAATATTTACCATATTAGAAATTTAAGGCATCTTTTATCATTATGAATATAACTTTTACTTTGTGGACCTTCCAGAAATCCCTGGACCTAGATCTAAGGAGGGAGGAGTAAAATGATTGCGATGGTGAGAGCTCAGTTGAGATTTGGAAATATAAATTAGTAGTGGACCTAAACTGGACAGTTGTATTATTTCACTGGTGGCTAGGTGGCACTATAGTGAATAAAGTGCTGGGCCTGAAGTCAGGAAGACTCATCTTCCTGAGTTCAAATCTGGCTTCAGACACTTCCTGGCTGTGTGATCCTGAGCAAGTTATTTAACCCTCTTTGCCTCAGTTTCCTCATCTGTAAAATGAGCTGAAGAAGGAAATGGAAAACTGATCCAGGATCTTTGCCAAGAAAATCCCAAATGGGGTCAAGAAGAGTTGAACATAACTGAACAAAAAACATAAACAAAAGCCCTTTTTTGGGGGGGGGGGTAAGTCCTCAAGAATTTTTAAGAGTGTAAAGGAGTCCTGAGACCAAACAATTTGAAGACTACTATTCTATCACAGTCTCCTCTCAATTAGCTTATGAAGCAGCTAGATGACATACTAGATGGCACATGGAGTCAGGAAGACCTGAATTCAAATTGGCCTCGGACACTTCCTAGCTGTGTGGCCCTGGGCAAATCATTTCACCCTGTTTGCCTCAGTTTCCTCATCTGGAAAATGAGCTGGAGAAAGAAATGGCAAACCAACCCAGTATTTCTGCCAGGAAAACCCCAGATGGGGTCATGAAAAGCTGGACAAGACTGAAAACAACTCAACAACAACAATAAATGACTTCACTGGTATTAAACAATCCTGGAGTAGAAGCAGATAATTTGGATGGTGATCCAGAGTTTGCTCTCTGGAAAGGGACATACAGTGATATGACAAAGGGAAAGGGATTTGAGGAGAGAGGAGAGTGTCAAAATGAACTGGTTAACTATGGCATAAAATTGGGAATAGAGGAAAATGAGGCCAGAGCAGGACTAGGAAAGCAAGGAGGGTGGAGTGACTAGACATTATAATAAGTATAACTAACAGGTTTAGGAGGGATGAGGCATAGAAAGAGATGGCAGATTACAAGGTTGTGGTCAGACAGAGGAGTTTCAGAATTATGGATAGTGGAGCTGGGACCCTGGCAGGTATAGACATCCAGGGCATGACCATGCCTGTGTATGGCCAAGATGTAGTGGAGATACAGGTCATGAAAGTTGAGGATGATTAAACCGGAAGAATCAACATGTGTATTCAAGCCTCCAAGTATAAGAGCACGGAGTTGGGCTGGAAAACTCCTTGGGAAATGAGGGGAAATTGACCTGGGAAGCTGATAGATAGCTAACTGCCCCACCCCTATCTAAATAGGGCAACACAGATAGTGGGTGACCTTTGAAGGAGAAGTAGATACTGCATGGTGGGAGAAGGGGAAAGATTGGGAAATAGCAGTGAGGAGGACAGAGTATGTCTATACCTCCCGGTTCAGTGGGGGAGGAGGGAAGATGGGGAGGTGAAGGACAGGGAGTGATGAGAAAAGGCCCTGGAGAAGAAACCAGGGATGCAGCATATTTTTGGGGGTGGGGGTGGGGAGAGGCAGGATTTCTGTGACTACAAGATAGAAATCTAAAAAGTCTGGTAAGAAAAACAGCTTATGAACTAAAGGAGGCATAGAACATGAGGGAATGTGTCCCTCAACTCTTGATCATAAGACTATGTGTAGTAGGTTTGAGTGTTTATTGAATAAATAAATGTCTTCCATCTCCTCCCTCCTCCCCCAGCAGACAACCTCCCCAACTCTCCTCCCAAACATCTATTTCCTTAGAGAGGGAGGGGAAGCTGGCAACCACAGGCCAGGGCTGGGTTCTGACTTGTGCGCAAAGACTCCTCCTTACCCTACAGGGTGGGGAGATCAGTCCTGGCCAGGGGTGGGCAATGCCCCACAAAGTGTCTAGTCTGGAGACTCAGGAGGAGGAAAAAATGAGATGGGCAGGGCCACCCCCAGCCACCAGAATAGGGCGGAGCTATCCTTGCCTGATTCTCCAGATCTGATGCCTCAAGAGGAGAGCAGGGGCTGGTTTTTCAGGGATGCCTGGGAACAGGGACACACCCTGGCTCATTCAAAGTGCACCCACACACATTTACCCTCCCCCACTAGTATCTGTCTGCCCCTGCAAACACATACATCCTTGTACATACAAGGATATGTGTCTCCAAAAGAAAAACATCCTTGTACACACACACATTTAAATTCCTAGCTCAGTTTAGTTTCCAAAGCATGTTCGCTTGACACCATAGAAGGCAGTGAGGTACCTCCAGAAAAAACAAAAACAAAAACCCTGGATCTGAATCAGAGGATCTAGGTTCGAATTCCACCGCTGGTACTTAATCTCGGTGTAATCTTGGGCAAATCACTTAACCAGGGTCCCTCAAGCTCAACCCCTGGAAGGATTATCATCTCCATTTTACAGATGAGGAGAGGATAAGTGACTTGCCCACGAATCAGCACACAGTAGGTGCTTAATAAATGCATATTGACTAATCATCATCATAACAGTTACCATGTATATATAGCCCTTTAAGGCTTGCAGAGCACTTTCCATAGGTAACCTCATTTGATAATCACAACACTTCGAGTGTTACTATTAAGTGCTATTATTATCCCTGATCTATGTAGGGGAAACTGAGGTTGAAAGAGATTAAGTGACTTGACCAGGGTCACAAAGCTAGGTGTGGAAATGGATGGAGTGCTGGGCCTGGAGTCAGGAAGACTTGAGTTCAAATCCAGACACTCACCTTGGGCAAGTCATTTAACCTCGTTTCCTCACCTATAAAATGGGGATAACAGTACCTCCCTCCCAGGGTTGTTGTGAAGATCACATGAACTAATAATTGTAAAGTGCCCGGCACATAGTAAGCGCTATATATACGTTAGCTACTATTATTGTCGGAGGCAGGATCGGAATCCAAGTCTCGGCGGCACTGCCCGGTGCCGTCTCATTGCTAGCCCGTGTCCGTAGTGGCCGGGACTCAGAATCCCGGGAGAGTTCGGGGAGCGAGCCTGACCGCGGAGGACACAGAAGACCATATTGGGGAACTGGATTGGCCAGGAGACCGAGCTAGGAAATGAACAAGCCGGCGCTCGGACTCGCCCTTCCACGGCCCCGCCCTCTCTTCTCCCGCAGGCAGGCCGGCACACGCGAGTCTGCAGCCCACTGGTGTCCCCGGCACGCGGCCCAGGCTCCTGACTGGGGGCGGGGCGAGGCGGGGCCGGCAGGGCCGGCCCCCACGTGAAAGCAACAGATCCGGGAGCCGGAGCCACAGCGCGGCCACTGGCCTGCGGGTGCGGGGATGGCGGGCCCGGGCCAGCGGGGGCCGGAGCGCGCCGGCAGCTGCTGGCAGGACCCGCTGGCCACGGCGCTGAGTCCCCCGCGGCCGCCGGTCGCCGGCCGGGGCTGGGGTCGGAGTCGGCCGCTTAGCGTAGTCTACGTGTTGACCCGGGAGCCCGAGGCCGAGGCCGAGGCCGAGCCGCTGCCCCTGCGTTGTCTGCGCGACGCTTGCGTCCAGCTCCCTGGGCCGCGCCCGGCGCCGCAGCTGCGCACGCTGCCCTTTGGGACCGTGGAGCTGGGTGAGCCCGCCGCCTTGGATTCTTTCTACAACGCGGGTGAGCAAGCCGCGGCGGGAGAGGGCGGGGCCTGGGCCTGGGGGCGGGGCCAAGAGGGCGGGATCGGGAAAGGAAGGGCCGATGGGGCGGGGCTAAGAGGGGCGGGATTCAGGGGATGAGAGACAGAGGAGCGGAGGGGCCCTATGAGGGAAGATGGGGGCGGGGCTGGAATCGGGGGGGAGGGGCTAAGAGGGGAAGGACTCAAGGCTTGGAAGACAGAATGGGAGGGGCCCGGGTAAGGTCTTGGGGCCAAGAGGGTGAGATTTAGGGGGATAGGCGACAGAAAGGAGGGTGGGGCCTGTAGGGTGAGGTGGGTGTGGCTTACATGGGGGCGGGGCTATGAAGAAGGGGCCTTGTGGGACTGAATGAGCTGAGGCTGGAAGGCTCACTGGGCAGGGTCAAGGGGGCAGGATTCAAGGGATAGTAGTGGGTGGGGCCAGGGGTGAAGGGGGAGGGGCTAATGGAGATAAAAATAGAGTGGGTGGGGCCAGAGAGCTGAGGGTGGCTCATGGAGGGTGGAGCTGATAGGTAAAGCTGGGGCAGGGCTATAAAAGGCAGGCTAAGGGGATGGGGGCTTCTGAAGGTGAAGTTTAGAGAAGAGTAGGGTGAGGCCTAGGAGAGGGACATGACTATAAAGAAGCTATCAGGCGAGGAGGGGCAGAGCTCAAATGTGGAAACGGAGGCTCATTGTTCAATGGGGTGTGGCTGGGAAAGGGGTGTGGCAATGAGGGAGGGGGTGGGGCTAGTGAGAAAGTGAAATCTGGGGGCGGAGCCTTAAGAGGGCGGAGAAAGAAGCCGGCAGGGAGTAGCTAAGGGGGTGGAGCTGGAGAGGGGACAGTGGGAGTGGGAAGAAGGGTGGGGCTAGGGGCGGGGCCAAGAGGCAGGCATTCAGGGATGGGGGGGTGGAAAAGTCTCTTAGAGAGGTGGGGTTAGAAGGGTGGGGCCCCAGAGACGGGGCTTCTTGGGGCGAGACAAGGGGTTCTAAGCCCCTGTCACTAGCTTTCAGTTACAGGAAGTCAAAATTCTTATCCTGAGTCAGCCCCACCTTCTCTAGGTTTGGAAACCAATTTGTTTATTTTCCTGAAGGCCATTCCAAGAAATCATTGTTTAAAAATGGCCCTTCCAGTACAAGGGAGCACATATATATACACACATACGCCAATTCAGTTAAACAAACATTTATTAAACAGCTTCTGTGAGCACAATGGTCCTACACAGAGAAATACAAACAGACACATAACAGTGTTTCTCACTCTCAGGCATGTCCTTGAGCCTGGACTGGGACCTTTCTCATCACCCTGGGATGGGGGAGGGGTATAGGTGTTTACAGACTTTGCCCTAAGATGACATCTTTTTCCCAAAACCAGGATGGGGCTAGGCCTGGTTGCTTTCTTGGTGTTCTGCTTGGGTGAAGAGTCCTATCTGAGGCTGACAGGCCCTAAGCTTTGGGACCTGGAGGGTTAGGACCCAAAGGAATTAGGATGGGAGGCCAGGAATCTTGGCTTTCAGCCCAGAGCCCTGTTCCCAGGGCCTCCTCCCCCTGCTTCAGGGTTGGGCTTCCTGCTGGGAAGAGGCAACCTCTTTCACAACCTCAGGAAGGAGCTGACAGCAGTTTGAAGGGAGGGGCCCAGGAACCAGGCATAGAGATGGGGCTAGCATTTCTCTTTCATAAAATGTGTGGGTTAGACTAGATCATGTCTCTAGCACTACCCATCCACCTGATACTGCGTTCCAAGATTCCTCTTGGTGCTAATATTCTATATGCTAAAGCCCCTCCCAACTCAACATTCTATGTTCTAAAGTCCTTTTCTGTTCTGACATCCTGTGTTCTAAGGGCCCTCCTTGCTCTGACATCCTGTGTTCTAAGGCCCCTCCCAGCTCTGACATCCTGTGTTCTAAGGGTCCTTCCAGCTCTGACATCCTGTTTTCTAAGGACCCCCCCAAGCTCTGACATCCTATGTTCTAAGGGCCCTTCCAACTCTAACATTCCATGTTTAAGGTCCAATGCCAGTTAAGGATCCCACGTGAAGGGAAGAGTAAATGGATTTCTTTTCCCCTTCATACCCCTTTGGGGGAATGTAGTGAATGAGATGGGAAATTCTCCCCCTGTTTTTGTCATTTCTATGAGAGTCCATGTTTCCTCCACCCCAGAAGTGTGGGAGACAATGGCTTAGAACCCAGAGCCAATGGTAGGAGCCCAGGCTCCTCCCTTTCAAGGGGAAGGTTGCCAGGACCAAGCCTAAGTGGGTCAGGACAGGGAGTGAGGGTGGGGAAGCGATGACATGTATTGTTTCTGCCCCAAAGCTGCCATGACTTCTTTCCTTAGTTCTTTCCACTTTCTCCCAATATTTGTCACCTTCAGACCATGAGGGGAACGGAGTGTGGGCGTTCCCCTCTCAGGCCTCCCCCTCTCTCCCCCAGATGTGGTTGTGCTGGAAGTGAGTGGCTCCCTGGGCCAGCCCTCCTTGTTCTACCACCTCGGAGTGAGGGAGAGCTTCAGCATGACCAACAATGTGCTTCTCTGTGCCCAAGCCGACCTTCCTGACCTCCAGGCCCTCAGGGTAGGTAGGCCTCCTCTGGGCCAGGTTGAGTGTGTAAGGGGGGAGCATACTCCCTCCCTCTTTAGCTGCCAGTAGGACCTTGGGCAAGTCACTCATCCACCGCACCTTCATCATCCCACCCTGAGACACTCAGGAGTTCAAGTCAAGTCCACAAGCAATTATTAAGTGTTTACTGTGTGCTGTTGGGAAGTGTACTGGATTTTGAGGTCACCTCCTGCCTCCTCCCCCACTTGACACCTTTATGACCTTGGACAAGTCATTTAGTTTCTCACAGCTTCCATTTCCATCCTTCTTGGTAAAAAGGAGAGCTCTGGCTTGTAGGGTCCTTGAGGGTAGCCACTTTCACCTTTGGCTTTGTACCCCCAAGGCTTAACACAGGCCTTGATGTAAGGGCTTTGTCCCTCTTTGTTGCCTGATGATTTCTGAGGTCCTTTCCAAGTGTGACTCTAAATCTAGGGACCTATGCTCTCTCTGGGCCTCAGTTTCCTTTTAATAATAATAATCACTAGCATTCAGATACACTTTAAAATCTACAAAGCATTTGACCATATATTATCTCGTTTGATCCCTACAACAACCCTCTGAGGTAGGTGCTATTATTATCCTCATTTTACTAATGAAGAAACTGAGGCAGTCAGAGATTAAGTGACTTGCCCAAAGTCACACCCCTTAGTAAGTTGTCTGAAGCAGGATTTGAACTCAACACTTCCTGACTCCAAGTCTAGCCATCTTATCCACTGTGCCACCTAGCTGCTTTATCCATCTATTATATCTATATCTATCTATCTATCTATCTATCTATCTATCTATGTATATAAGAAGTGGGGAGAGGGGTGGACTAGATGACTTTTGAGGTCCCTTACAACTTTAAATTTAGGCACCTAGGATTGCTCAGGGCCTCAGTTTCCTTACTTGTGTAAGAAAAGGGTTCGACTAAATGATCTCTGAGGCCCTAAATCCTAGCAGGTGCCTTGAGTGTGTCTGCTGGAGTAGAAGGGAGAATGGACCAGGCACGGGTCAGGAAGGGCCATTGGGACCCCCGTGGTCCTGCCCAGGTGTGCTCGTGTGCCTGGGGATGGGCAGGAGATCCACCCCATTAATCTAGTGTCTTTTTCCCTGCAGGAAGATGTCTTTCAGAAAAACGCTGTGAGTAGAGACCAAGCTTCTTTGGACCGCGTCCCACAGTCCCCTTTTCCCTTGTTTTATGCCCCCCCAACCTCTTCAGGCGTGTGCACACATATCCATGTCCACATGTGTCCCTCAGTCATTTAAAACTGTTGGCCAGGCCCTTGTCTCTGAGCTGCCCCAGGGTCAGCCCTTGTGGCCCCTGTCCAGACCCACAGCCAAGGGGCGGACACAGGGGGTGCCGTCTGGAGGGGAGACGTGCTCCTCCCCTTCCCTCATTGCTGGGACTCCTTTGCAGGATTGTATTGGGGGCTACACCTTCATCCCCTACATGGTGACGGGCCAAGGACGTGTCCTGTGTGGCGATGCAGGTGTTATGAAGGGGCTGGCAGAGGGGCTGTTCCAGTCGGGGGCAGGTGCTGAGGCCCTCCTCACCCCCCTGGTGGGCAGGCTTGTCCGCCTGCTGGAGGCTATACCCACCAACTCCTGGTACCTAGGGTGAAGGCACCAGGGAGGGCTGGCAGGGAGAGGGATCACAATGCCCATCAGGGAAGGAGGCTTTGGGAGGGAGGCCTGGAGGACGATGGGAAGTGGGGCTTTAGGAGGAGAGGACGGCAGACCCATCTGTCATCCCTCACCCAGTGGCTACTTCCGGGAGACCATGCGCAGGGACATCCGCCGGGCCCGGGAGCGCTTCTCTGGGGACCAGCTTCGGCATGAACTAGGCCGGCTGCAGCGACGGCTGGACAGCGTGGAGCTGCTGACCCCTGACATCATCATGACCCTTCTGCTGTCTTACCGGGATGTACAGGTGTGCCTGGACAGAAAGCGGGGAGGTCAAGCAACATCTCTGTGATACTCTACAGCTTATGTCACCTACACTGAGGGAGTTTAGAATTACAACCCATTTTACAGAGAAGGAAACTGAGGCAGAGTGATGCAATGGAAAGAGCACTGGATTTGGAGTCAGAGAGCCTGAGTTCCTATCCCACCTCTTACTGCCAGTGTGATGTCACACAAGTCACTTCTTTTTGCCTCAGTTTCCTCCTTTGAGATTTGCCCCAGGGGTCACAGCCAGAACTCCCAGGTTAGCGTTCTTTCTACAGGATGTAGGAGAGGGTAGGCAGGTTCCTGAAGAACCAAATCCTTCTAGGAGCTGAGAGCGCGTGACTGGGGGCAGAGGAGCACAGAGGGAGCAGCAGACACTCACTGGAAGTTACCATTTCTACTTTCCCCTCTCCCCGACAGGACTATGGGGCCATCATCTCCCTGGTGGAGACACTGCAGGCCCTGCCCACCTGTGATGTGGCTGAACAGCATAATATCTGTTTCCACTACACCTTCGCCCTCAACCAGTGAGACCCACAGGGCAGAGGGAGGGGAGGGGCCTGTAGGGAAGGTGGGGGTGACATCCTGGGGCATAGGCCACAGGGAAAGGAGCTCCAGAGCTGGGCAGTGGGGTATGGGAGGAGTGTTGCATGGTACAAGGAGAAGAGCACTGGCCAGGGAGTCGGCACCTGGGTGCAAATTCCAGCCTTGCTGAGTACTATCTATGGGACTTGGGACAAGTAATTAAGTTTCTTCAGCTTCTTTATCTATCAACTGAGGAGTTTGGTGTAGGTGATCTCTGAAGTCATTTCCAATTCCAAATCTAGACTCCTATAGTAAAGGAGTAAACAGTGAGGGAGATGCCCCTGGGCAGGCAATGAGGGAGATGAGCAGTGAGGAAAAGGCCCTGGGGTGGAGGATGGCAGTGACTGAGGGGGCACTGCTATCTTGGGCTTCTGCTTAGAGAAGCTGGCTGTGGGGGCAGCGTTGGAGGGGCCCCAGGTGCTGCTACCCAGGCCTCACCCTCTCCTCACCTGCTGGCTCCAGGAGGAACAGGCCCGGGGACCGAGACAGGGCCTTATCTGTGCTGTTGCCTCTGGTGCATAGTGGGGCTGTGGCCCCTGACCTCTACTGTATGTGCGGCCGAATCTACAAGGACATGTTTAACAGCTCTGGCTTCACTGATACTGGTCACCGAGACCAGGCTTGTCATTGGTAAGGACAGCTGCCAGCCACCCTTCTTCCTGCCAGCCCCAGGAGCCTCCGGGGGGGGGTCAAGAGTGAATCTCAAAGCTGATGAACCTGGCCCTTTCAGTGTCCAACTTGTGTGGCCAACTATAACCCCTTTAGGCCAAGCCTAGGCCCCTAGCTGTAGCCTCCCTGCCCCCACCTTCACCCACCTTGTATTTACCATCAGGTACCGAAAGGCCTTTGAGACAGAGCCCAGTCTTCACTCAGGCATCAATGCAGCTGTCCTTCTCATAGCTGCTGGACACCAGTTTGAGAACTCGGATGAGCTCCGACAGATAGGTGACTCCTCCCATTCCCCCAGCCCCAGGAGAGACCACTGTCCCAGAGAGAAAGCCCTTTTCCTGTAACACCAGGTGGGGCCACCATGCTTCTAGCCCTCAAGGAGGGTGGGGAGAGGGATGTCATTAAATGAGCCACCAGCCCCACTGGGCTGGGGTTGATGGGGTAGAGGAGGTGGACAGATGACCCTGTGCTAGTGACACTCCCATCATGCCCCATTCATGGGCATCCCTGTGTCCACCCCTGTGCTTAGGAGTGAAGTTGGGGTGCCTGCTGGGCCGCAAGGGCAGTGTGGAGAAGATGCAGTATTACTGGGACGTGGGCTTCTACCTGGGCGCCCAGATCCTTGCCAATGACCCCACCCAGGTGGCTCTGGCTTCTGAGCAGCTCTACAAGCTGAATGCTCCCCTTTGGTAGGTGGCCAGGGTACCCTGAGGGAGCTGGGGGGCTGAGTCCCCCAGAGGCCTGACATCCATGCCTTTTCTGTGCCCACAGGTACCTGGCCTCAGTGATGGAGACCTTCCTTCTCTACCAGCACTTCTGCCCAGCCCCCCAGCCCTCAGGGCCCATGGGCCTTCGGGCACTCTTCTGGCTCCGTTTCCTCCTGCAGTCTTGCCAGCCCTTTGCTGCCTCAGACGAATGCCCGGTATGGAGGATGCAGATGTTGGGAAGGAGCAGGGGCTGGAGCCAAAGCTGGTACTTTGACACAGGGTGAGCCCTTTCTTCGCCCCCTCCAGGTGCTGATCCTGGAGCAGAATAAGGTGCTGCAGCCTGCCAGGCTTCAGGTGCAAGAGGGGAGCCCCAGTATGGCCGTGACCTTGAGCCTGCTGGAGTCTGAGACAGAGGTGGGGCTGCCCCCCATACTCAAACCCCACTGGGCCTTGAGCCCCTACCCATATACCCCAGGGCCTGAATTCCCTCCTCCCCCATCACTCCCTGTACCCCATTACCTTAAGCACTAGCCCCACCCCACCTCCATCCTCCATCACATGGACCTACATTCAATCCAATCTAATCTAACCTACTATGTGCATCTCTTACACTCTGGACCCTTACCCAATCCACACACCCCCCACTCTTCTGAACCCCCTCCCCTACCTTCCATGGTCTGGAATCCCATTCTCCCAGGCCCTGTGCCCTAGAATCTTTCCCCATCTCCCCTAGGCCAGTCCCCCATCCCCCCCTCTCCCCCAGGCTGCCGGCTCTGGCTGGACCTTCCCCGCGGTCTCCATCCGGGGAGTCAGGTGAGACACTGGCCCCTTGATGCCCCCTTGTTCCTGGCAGAGGGCTCCTAGCTGGTGGGAGGGCAGGGATGCCCTTAGGGATTCTGGGGGACCCAAGCCCACCTTAGCCCCTTCCCTGGCTCTCCCTGCCTAGCATCTCGAAGAGAGACGAGCGCTATTGTTTCCTGTATGTGTTCCACATGGCCCAGGACTTCCAGCTGGGCTTCCCCAGCCGCCAGCACTGCCAGTGGTGAGCCCGGAGGGCTGGAAGCTGGGACTAGGTGGAGGGGTCCCTTGCTCATAGTGAGTCAGTTTAGGGGATAAACTCATTGGCTTCACTGAGTCTGAGTGATCCTGGGAGGGTGGGAGCAAGGGTAATTGGTGAGGCCAGGCAGTGGGGGAAGGAGGGGTGCCTCAGAAGTTTTAATGCAGTTTTAAGCTGTTAAAGCTGACGCCCTGTGTAGGGATTGAGGTTAATAAGGGCACTCTTAGGGAGGAACTGGGAATAGGGCCACAGGGAGGTGACCGAGGGCCAGAGAAAGGCCAGGTCCCAAGCACTGCCCAAGTCTACCTTGGAAAAAGTTACCTTTTGACCCAGTCAAGGACAAGGTAGGTCTAATGTCTCTGGCCAGGCCAGGGTGGGAGCGGGCACAGGCGGAGGTCCAGAATAGCTGATTGGGTCCACACAGGTTCTGCAGGCGGATCCAGGCCTTTGTGACCCAGCCAGTGCTGCCTGGAGATGAGGGCATAGCCACAAAGGAGGTGCTGGAGGTAAGATGGTGTGCAAATGTGGCTGGGGTGCCTGGGGGAAAGGCCTGGGGGAGGCTCTGAGGAGGCTGGGTGACCCTGCCTCCACTTTCCCTCAGTTTGACTATGAGTACACAGAGACAGGAGAACGGCTGGTCCTGGGCAAAGGTACTTATGGGGTGGTGTACGCTGGTCGGGACCGCAATACCCAGGTACGGATCGCCATCAAAGAGATCCCTGAGAGGGACAGCAGGTACCTGGGGACTGGGTGAGGGCCTTGGTACTGCCTCAGAGTACAGGGTCGGGAGATCTGGCATGGGAGGGAGGCAGTGAACTGTTGTGGATGGGATGAATTCCCATGCTTTGCTTGAGGCACAGGGCAATACCTGAAGCCAGGGCTTGGGGATGATGCCATGCTCTGATCCCATCTCCAGGTTTTCCCAGCCCCTCCATGAAGAAATCGCCCTGCACAAACGTTTACGCCATAAGAATATTGTCCAGTACCTAGGGTCCATCAGCCAGGCTGGTTTCCTCAAGATTTTCATGGAGGAGGTACCTGGAGGTACCTAGGCAGGGGCTCATGGTTTTATGTGCCAGTGGGTAACTGTGGGCCCAGGGCCCCAGGACTTAGGGTATCTGAGATTAGGGCTGTGGGCTTAGGACTGAAGGAGTTAACTATGGACCCAGGGCCCCAGAATTTAGGGTATCTGAGATTAGGGCTGTGGGCTCAGGACTGAAGGAGTTAACTATGGGCCCAGGGCCCCAGAACTCAGGATGGGGGGGGGGGGTATCTGTTAAATTGGGGTTGTGGGCTCAGGGCTGAAGGAGTTAACTGACAGTCTAGGGCCCCAAACTTGGGATGGGAAGGCAGGGAATCTGTGAAATCGGAGATGTGGGCTCAGGACCGAGGGAGGTAACTACCTATGGACCCAGAGCTCAGGAATGGCCATGGAGGGAGGGGGGTGTCTATGGGAAGGGTTAACAGTGGCTGCAAGGCTACTGGACTCAGCCTGAACAAGGGCTGGGCATGTTCAGTGGGGTCAGATGTGGCAGCATGCCTGTCCCTGTACTCAGGCAGCCTGTCATCCCTGCTGAGGGCTGTATGGGGACCACTTCAGGACAATGAGAGCACCATCAGCTTCTACACCAGGCAGATCCTACAGGGGCTGAGCTATCTCCATGACAACCACATCATCCACCGCGACATCAAGGTGATGACAGAGGGCTGCATGTGAACATGTGTACACCACACACACACGCACACACACACACAGACACACACACACAAACATCCAGGTAATGGTAGGACCCAAAGAGGAGTCATTAATGATGAGATAGGAAGGCTTCCCGCAGACTGTTGCAGGGATTTGTCCTTTACCCTGTTCACCGTCTTGCCTAATGACTCGACTGCCTCCTAGATGATATGCTTGCTAAATTCACTGGGGAACATGAAGCAGGCTTCTCGAGGTTGGGGACTAGCTCATTTTTGTCTGGGTCAGAGCTATTAGTACAGTGTCTGGCACACAGTAGGTGCTTAACAAATGCTTCTGAATTGACACAACTTAAATTGAAAATTGGCACACACAGGCAGCAGTTAAATTGCTCTTGACAGTTTAGAGGTGAAGCTGATGAAATGTCGATGGGAAGCCCTACTGTAATGCAGTCTCAACTTTTGGATTAAAAACCAGGATTGGGGGACATATGGTGAAGCAGCGGTTTATGGAGGAAATGACGTGGGGGCGTTAGTAGGCTGCAGGCTCAGTGAGTCAGCAGTGTGGCATGGTGGCCAAGATGCCTCTGAAGTTGGCTTCCTTTATCCAGATAGCCAGAGCTTCGGGGCTAACTCCTCAGCTCCAGTTAGACCCATATCTGGAAGCCATATTCTAGGAAGGACGTTGATGGGTCAGTGTGTCCAGAGGAGAGTGACCAGAGTGGGGAAGGGACAGGAGATTGTGCCACATGTGGAATGACTGAAGAGCAAGCAAGGACGCTTAGCCTGGCAAAGAGAAGAGTTGGCAGGGACATGACAATCATCTTCAAGTGTTTGAAGGGCTGGTGGGTGAAGGAGGGATTAGGAGGCAACATGGTGTCTTGGGAAGAGCCAGAATGGCCCCTCCAAATCCCCTTCTACATGACTTGGTACCTGTATGATCTGGGGCATGTTATTTCACCTCTCTGAGCCTCAGTTTCCTCATCTGTAAAGATGACAGGGTTGAACCAGCGGGTTTCTAAAGTCACTTTCAGCTCCAGTCCCGATGTCCTTCAGTCAGATTCTTCTGCCTGGTCCTAGAGGGTGGAAGTTGCCACACTTTCACATTGGGAGATAACTCAAAGTGGGGTGGGGGTGGGCTGGGAGGACAGCACATCTTGCTGACCTTTAGAGCAGTCTGAAAGTGGAGCTGCCTCGGGTGGTAGTGAGCTCCCTGGAAGCTGGAGGTCTTCAGGCAGATACTAAATGACCACTCCCCAGTCCCCAGTTAGAGACTGGACCGAGATTGCAATGGAATCATAGAATGAGAGAGCTGGAAGGGACCCCAGACAGGCCTCTCATTTTACAGGATAGGAAACTGAGGCCTTACTCCATGAATTTCTAATTAGATGGGAGGGAGAGAGGCACAGAGGGAGACAAAGGTAGATTCATTTGTGCTGTGGGGATGGGATGGCAATGGCATAAGAAAACTGGGCTGAGGACAGCATATTTGTCCCCACGGCAGGAGGAATGAGATTTGGAGGTGTGGGGCTGGGGCATCCCTGGGACAGCCTGCCCCCATGACTCCCATAGGCCCCCCAAGGCAGGACATTGGCTCCAGGCCCTGGCCCTAGTGGGTTCCAGCCTAGCACCTGATGAACACCTATATTCTCTACCCAGGGGGACAATGTACTGATCAATACATACAGTGGTCTGCTCAAGATCTCCGACTTTGGCACCTCCAAGAGGCTGGCGGGCATCACCCCCTGCACCGAGACCTTCACAGGTAGTACGGGGTCAGTGGGTGGGTGAGGACAGATAAAGGCTGCCTTCTCTGGGCAATGGGGATTCTCAGGAACACTTTAGGGACCTTGGGACCTTCCTGATCATAGGTCATCTTGCCTAGGGTGGTGATAGTGTCTGTGGTAAGCAGTGGTTCATGTGGTGGGTGGCAATGCTCAATGTAAGTGTCTAGGTCTTAGGCTCTAGGATGTGTTAATAATGTTTTGGTGGGGAGGGGAGGGAGTGAGAATACCTGGTCTGGGTCCCACCATGCCCTTCAAGTCAGACTCAATGTGTCCCACTAGGAACCCTACAGTACATGGCTCCTGAGATCATTGACCAAGGGCCCCGGGGCTATGGAAAGGCAGCTGACATCTGGTCCCTGGGCTGCACTGTCATTGAAATGGCCACTGGCCGCCCACCATTCCATGAGCTAGGCAGCCCCCAGGCTGCCATGTTCCAGGTATTCCTCACCCTTTAGCCCAATGGTAGTGTGAGCCAAGGCCTACCTCAGGTGGCTGGTGGTGTTGATGGCAGTACCCCAGTGATCTTCCCTACTTCTCCCCCTTTCCCCCAGGTGGGTATGTACAAGATCCACCCTCCAGTGCCCAACACCATGTCTGAGGAGGCCCGAGCCTTCATCCTCCGTACTTTTGAGCCCGAGCCTAAGCACCGTGCCAGTGCTGCTGCCCTGCTGGGTGACCCTTTCTTGCAATCCCGGCGTAAAGCCCGAAACTCCATGTCAACCCACCACCCCCCTCACACTACAGGTGTGCCCTGGGCCAGTGAAAGGCTGTGGGGACGGATGGCAGGGGGAGGGGGCTGGGAAGAGCTCAGCCTGACAGCTCCTGGTTCTCAGGTGTCCTGCCAATCAGTCTAGCTTCCTCAGCTGGCCAATCACAGACAGTGCCATGTTCAGGTGCCAATCCCCAGACCAGCCCCATGCCCCCCAAGCGCTGCTTCAGTGAAGGAGGAGCCCCCAACAGCCAGCTCCAGTAAGTACTGTAGACTGGGGAAGGGGAGGACACTATTGGCTGTCTTCAGGGCTACCTCCCACCCAAGACCTGGGAGTACTGCACCCCTTCTGGTCCTATCCCCAGGAACCATTCTTGAAACTGGCACCAAGTGCCCCCTGGCGTCCAGAAGAGGCTCTGCACCTTCATTCTGGTGCCAGTCCTCCTCAGGGCTCCAGTGGCCTTGGTCCTATCCCCATTCTGGACCAATCAGCAAGGTGCCTGGAGGCCAATGTACCTGTGCCATGCTCAGGGTTCCCAAAGACTCTGTCGTAGAGCGGACCTTATCCCCAGAAGAGAACCCACAGCGGTCCCTGATGCGTAAGGAGAATGAGCGGAGGGCCATGCTAGAGCGAGTACTCAGCCAGGAGCTGTCCAGCATAGTGGAAAGCCTGCAGTGGGCGCTGGAGCAGGTGGGCATGTGGGAGAGACCACCTGGGTTTGTGTGTGACCTTGTGGACTCCAGTTTCTCCATCTCCAGATTGACAGAGTTGCATGAGATTCTCTAAGGTCTTTTTATGTTTTGGGGTGCCACCCTCTCCCTCCACTCTTCATGTCCCAAGCCCATCCCAACTGCCTCCTGCCAACCCTTCCTCTTATATAGCATTGGCTCTGAGACATAGGGGCCTGGGCCTGCCAAGTGAGGCATTTCATGGGCACCATCCACTGGCTCCATGCTGGGGTCCTGATGAACAAAGCTTGCTTTCCTTCCCTGACTTCCTCCGTAGGGCCCCCCTGGGCCACGCCTGAGCCGGGAGCAGGTAGCCCAGCTGGTGAGAGGCCTCCGAAGCTACATTTGCTCTTCCAGCCGCCGACAGCTGGCACAGGAGCTTCGGGCCCTGCAAGAGCAGCTTCAGGCCCAGGGGCACAGCTTGGCATTACTCCAAGGACCCCTCTTTGCTTTCCAGGATGCTGTGAGTGGGGACAGAGCCGGGGTGGGGCACATAGTACAGGGCTGGGAGGAGCTTTCAAACTGAATTACTCCCCTGACTCTGCCACATAAGCCATTCCTGCCCATTGGGAAGTCCTTTCCCAGATCTGACCTGAATCCCTCCTGAGGTAGCTTCTGCTCATTTCTCAGAGGGGCTGGGAACAAAGACCAATGTTCCCTGGACACATGGAAACAATCTCTTCCTCCCTTGGCTCCTACTTCCCAAACCTCTCAGATCTTTCCCTGCTCCTGCCTCACACCTCCTGGATCTCAGACCCTGCACCTTTACCCACCTCTAACCCTGGGCCATATCATAGTGGGCTTTACTCCTTTATCCAAGCTCCCAATGCCTTACTTTAGGCCCCATCTCTGATCTCAAGCTCCTCCCCTTGGCATCATCTATCTCTTATTTGAAATCACCACCCTCCTCAGGTGAAACGGGTCCTCCGAAGGCATGAAATCCGGCCCCACTGGATGTTTGCCCTCGATGGACTGATGAGCCGGGCAGTACGGGCAGCCCTGGCTGTGCTGGGGACAGGTGAGGCCTGGGCTGGAGCTTATGGGCACAGGGTGGTCACTGTAGACAGGGATAAAGGAGTGGATATTGAGGGATGAAAAAGACGCACATCTTCTGTGTCTTCTGGCCCAGGCCAGACTGGCACTGCCCTCCTTGGAGCCCCTTGCTTATGTCAAATACAAGCTGGGCATGCTCCTGCCCATCTTTTGTACTTTCAGAGCTAAAGAAGCCAGCCATAGGGCAGCCTGAAGATGGGAGTGAAGAAGAAGAGCAGCAACCTGAGCAGAGGGGTGTACCACCCAGAAGAAGCCACTCAAGGGCCCCTGAAGAGGATTCTCTACCCCTGTTGGCACAGCTGAGCCTCCTAAGGGCAGAGACAGGCAGGTGAGCACCCTAGTGGACATTGTCCACCCCTACTTTAATTCAATAGACGTATAAAGAATGATCGACCCCCTTCTTGTCACCCCTTGTCTTTCAGGCTCCTTGGACAGCTGGCAGAGAAGGAGAGGCAATGCCAAGCATTAGCCCTCAAGGCACTTCAGCACATAGAGGAGACCTCAACTCTAACCTTAGGTTCTGGGCCCATAGGTAACTGAGGGCACCAGTGGGATTGGACAGCATGGTGTCCCTGGGTGGGGAGTCAGGACACGTACCACAAATGGGCTGTGATCCATCCCTCTCCAGTGAGATGGGTGGCTAAGTAACAAGAATAACTCATTTGTATGATACTTTAAGGCCAGGCTGATCTCTAAGATGCCTTCCAATTCTAGCATTGTGTTTCTGAGCCCAAGAGCAGGGAGGGTGGGTGACAGAAAGGGAGATTCCAGGCTCTCGGGGCTCATCAGGCCCTTTCCCCCTCATAGATATCCCACCAGCCTCCCCAGGAGACCCTGAGCTGGCCCAGTGGCTACAGCAGCTGGGTGTAGATTCAGGCACCATCCAGACAGTGAGTATTGGGGTCCCAGGCTGGGGGGGCAGGATTAGGAGGGGAGAAATGCCCCCCAGGCCTCCCTCTGGAACAGCTTTCTGGGGGAAACTGAGGCAGAGGGGTTACCTCCTAAAGAACCCTGTCTGGGCTCCTCTTCTTGTACCTCTTTCCTTCTCTAGGGCTCTGTCACAGCCTCTTAGAGCTGGAAGGGACCAGGTCCATTCCACTCATGGGATTCTAACATGTTAGGAGGGGAAAGGGACTTTGGCCTTCACCTAGTCCAGAGAATCAAACAGGCCCAGAGGGGGAGTCGCTAGCCCAAGGCCATAGATGGTAAGTGGCAGGTTCTCGAACCCCAAGACCAGGGGTGGAGAAGCCCAGGGGGAGCTCATTCTACCCTCCAGCCGAAACCACTGATTCTTCTTTGTCAAGAAGGAAACCAAAGTCCAGAAAGAGTAGACTGGCCCGAGGTCAGCCAGAGACAGGAATCAGGGACAGAATGGGGGCTCCAAGCCCGCGGATCTCTTGTCATTCTGGGGCTTCATTTTGGCCTCAGTCTCTCTAAGGCCACTAGGTGGCATGGGGGATAGAATGCTGGAGTTAAACTCAGGAAAATCTGAGCTCAAATCATCCCTCTGACGTTTTCTTACCTGTGTGACCTTGAGCAAGTTACTTAACCTCTCTGGGCCTCAAGGTCAGGGTTGTTGTGAGGATGAACCGAGATAAGACATGGAGAGTGTTTTACAGACCTTAAAATGCTATCTATCTAAAATACTAGCTCTTGTTTTTCTCTTGGCCCCCAGCTCCTGAGTCACGGTTTCACTTTGCACATGCTCATTACCTGTGCCAGTCGAGATGACCTTGTCTATACTCGGATCAGGTACTTCCCCGACTTCCTCAGGCACGAATTCGATAGGGAGCCCCCTCCCTTCTCTGACTCCAGCTCCCCTGAGCCCCCTGATACTGGTCAGCCAGGCCCTCCCGCCCAAGACAGGGAAAGTGATCGGGCTGTGCTTACTGAATCTACCCATCTCTCCAAAGAGGCGGAATGGTATGCCGAATCTGGAGAGCCATCATGGCACAGAGGGCAGTGCCGGTGCCCTAGACCCCCCCCCCCAAGGCTCGGAATTCGATGGGCTCAGGGGCAGACCCACGGACATCACAGCAGCCGGCAGCCACTCATACAGGGGCCCAGGCGGCAGCACTTCACACGGTGGGCAGAGACACCCTTCTTCCACAAAGTGTTGGGAGGTGGGGGAACTGGGGTAGCTGAAGAGAAACAGGATGGACTGCCCTGGGAGGGCGTGGCCAGGCCAGAGCCATTAAAGAGGATGCTTTTGTATGTTTGTGTCTGTCATTGCTATGGAGCCTGAGAGATGACGGCGATTCCCTGGTACTTCTCCCTTTGGAGAATCCTTCTCAGTCGATATCTCGCCATCCAACTGGCTTTCACTCGGTCTGTATTTTTTTTGACTCTGCATCCCATATCTAATCCAAAATGTATTTATTAAGCCCTCACAAAGGGCAGAGCACTGAGGATACAGAGAAACAAACAGGAGTCCTTGCCCTCAAGGACTACTCAGAGAAACAAGAGACAATGATAGAAAGCTGGTGGGACACCTGCACAGAAATAGACAGGAAAGGAGATCCCCACCAGACAGAGGCAGACAGAGATAGACACACTGAGCTAGAAACAGGCCCAGAGGACAGAAGGTCAAGACTTGAAGCTCGAGGCAGAAGAGGACAGTGGGCAAAGGATATCTCCATGCCTAGCCGTCTCAGAAGTGACCAAGTCTGAGTATGGAGAACAATAGCCCCGAGTGGCTCCTCTGCTGCCCACTGCCTCCGCCCAAGAGTTCTGGGACGCAGAACTTTCACTGTTCCTAAGTCTGTGATGGGCTGTGCAGCAACCTTGGGACCTTCTCCCCTTGGAGAGAATCTGACCCTCCCAGACCCTCCAGGTTCCCAAGCAGACCCCAGGGCCTTTTAGGCTGCAGTAGTGACTTTATTGTCCCTGTCCAATTCCCCTCCTGCCCCAGCACCTGGCAGGGGCTGGCACAGCTACGTCCTGGGCACAAGATTGGTCCTGAGGGGCAGGAGCCCATCCACCCACTCGCAGGGCCGGGCCAACAGCGTCTGCCACAGGTGCTTCTCCTCAGGCGTGGAGTCCATCCATGGCACCTGAAGCCCGTAGCTGCTGCCTGATGGGCAGAAGGTACTATCTCATGGACAGGCACTGCCCTCCCCAGCAACCAAGATGCTCCATCAAATCAATATGCATTGTTTAAGCACCTCTGCCATATGGGAGGATCAGCTGACATCACCTCATGCCTTCTGCTCCCCACACACCCTCTACCACCGGAGTGATACCTGGGCATGAGGACCACTTTCTCCCAAACCCACCATCAGCCTTCCAGACACACAAGCACCCACCTCCCCTCCATCCTCGGTGCCCTGATCACCCTGGACCACTATGTCTAAGTCTTCCCTTTCCCTCTCACCACACAGTCACCCCTCACTGCATCTCCCCCAGTCCCTGAAGTCCATCTAGTCTCTTCTCTGGTGCCCCTCAGCTGAAATCCCTCTGCCCTGCTCACCAGTGCCCAGGCTGAGACGGGTGCCCCCCAGCAGGCGACTGCCCAGGGTGCCATAGTCCCAAAGGGATAGCTCCGCACAGGCCTGCTGCAAGTCAGCGGACTCGAAGCCGTCATAGACCATAGTGTGGTTGAAGACCGGGCTCAAGCTGCGGCGGACGACTCTTGTCCTTTGGCGGCTGGTTCGACTGTCATCTGGCAGCACCGAGCTAGGGGCATAGGTTGGGGAAGTGGGCCCGGTGGGGCAGCAGGTGGCCCACACCAGGCATCTGCAGGGGATGGAGGTGGTGGGAGGGGGGTGGCAGGGAGGTGAATGGGAGGGGGTGCTCTCTCACCACTGTATGTAGCAATCCAGGGGTCCCGAGCGAAACGGGATGAGGTTCTGTGCATCCTTCACCCAAAAGTGCAGCTCTCCACTGGGAGGGAGCCCCTCGCCTGCAGTCCCAGGAGAGAAGGAGACAGAGCTCTAGTTATGGTCAGCTGCGCTTTCTCTCCACTCCAAGGGCTTGAGGAAGGGTCCCATCAGGCTTCGTCACTGAGCTCCCAAGGGACAGACCCCAGAGAGGACTCCCTCACCTTCTACGCCAGCTGGGATGAACTTGAGGGCCAAAGACAGCTGCCCCCTGCTCAGGAGCCCGTCCGGGGAAGGCGGGGCCTGTGGGGAAGGGAGGAGCCAGCACGGGCGGCACCTGAGAGAAGGAAGCTTTGGGGATGGGGGCCTCAAGAGGAGCAAACATCAGGGGGTGGGACCTGAGAGGAGAGACCACCAGGGTCTGGGGCCTGAAAGGAGAGAGCTTGGAGGACTGGAGTCCGAGAGGAGGGAGCTCGGGGGACTGGGGCCAGAAAAGAGAACGCTTGGGGAGGTGGGGTTCAAAAGGATGTTTCTTGGGAGGGGGCTTGGCCAAAGGACGCCTAGATGAATGGGGTTCAAGAGGAGAGCTCTCTGGAGGCCAAAGAGAACTTTTGGGAGGGTGGGGCTTAACAGAAGGGCGCTCAGAGGATTGAGGCTCTAGAGGGGAATTCTTGTGGGAGGGGGTCGGGACCGAGAGAACTTTGGAGAGGTGGAGCTCAAGAAAAGGGATATCAGGGGACTGAAGGCTCTTGGGTGTTGCTATATCTGAGAGTATGGTGCTGGGGGTGGGGCGAGAGGAGAGATCACTGAAGTCAGGGACTTAAAAAGGACAAAACTTGTGGTGACGGGAGGCTGAGGAGTCCGGGGGGCAAGACCTGAGAGAAGGAAGCATCTGGGAGTGGGACCTGAGAGTATGAAGTGTCAGGGGGAGGGGCTCGGAGAAGAAAGCGTCAAGGGTGGGTCTTGGCAGAAGGGGACCCCAGCGGTTCGAGCCTGAGAAGAGGCAGCATCAGGGAGAGGGAACGGTAAGGAGGCTGCACTAGGGTTTGGGGACAGAGATGATGGTGCATCAGGGCTGGGAGCGTAGAAGGGAGTACGTGGTGGTGAGGGGCGGTGTTTGAAGAAAGTTGGGTCTGAGAGGAGGAGGGGCCAGGGGCAGGGCCTGAGAGAAACACTTGTCAAGGGGCGGGACTTGAGAGCAGGGAGCATCAGGGGATTGGACTGCCCAGAATGAAGACCGAGGCAACATGGGGGGGCGGGGCCCCAGGAAGGGTAGGCATAGGGGCGGGGCTGAGAGGTGGAAGCAGAGGGGATCAGGCTTTAGGGGAGGAAATGACCAAGGACAGGAGCCTAGAGGTGGGGACCCAAAAGGAACAAAAGTCTGCGGGAGGGACCTACAGAGGAGACTAAATCTGGGGGCGGGACCAAACAAAAGGAAACTGGGGGGGCGGGGCTGGAGAGCAGGGAACGGTAGGGGCTGGCGGCGTGTGAGGCAGGAGGTCAGGCAGGGGCTATTCAGAAGGTCCCGGTGGGCTGGTGTTGGGCTCTGGGGTCTCCTTACCCGGGGCTGCAGGGGCAGCCAGGCCGACTGGGAAGCCCAGTCCCACGTGCCCAAGGGCACCTCGACCTCGCCCAAGAAGAGGTTTCGGCCAAGGCTCTCGTGGTGCCACACGGAAAGGTGGAGCACGCGGCCACCAAGCTCCGACTGCTCCACCGAGTACTGGGAGCGGGGAAAGCGGGGTTAAGGTTACAGGTGGCCGGCATTCCGCACTTGGGGGGAGGGCTTTCCAGCCACGCCCTTCACGGCCACGCCCCCTCCCTCCTTGGCTCCGCCTTCAACGAGCTCTGGCCTTTCCCTCCTCGGCCCCAGGTCAGACTCAACCCCTCTTAGACCCACCTCCAGACCACGCCCATCCCTGACAAGTTGCACTTCCCCCGCCCCTTCAGCCAGGCTCAACTCCCGGCCCCGCCCCTTCCCCCCACCTCCCGGGCCGGCTTGTGGCTCCAGCTCTTCGGCCCCGCCCACCCCGCGCCCCTCGGCCCCTCCTCACCCGCAGGGTCTCGTTGAACACCGGGTTCAGGTTGCGTTTCTTCACCGCGGTCTTGCGCTTGCTTTGCGGGGACTTGTCTGGGAGGAGGTAGCTTTTCACGTAGCTGGGGAGGAGGGCGCGGGGCAGGGTTAGGGTCCAGGAGAGCCCGGTCTAGGTTCGGTCTGAGGCTCCCCCAGCCTCCCCCGCCCCCCACTCACGGGTCCGAGCGGCGCTTCCGGGCCGGGGCCAGCCCCTGGCACTGAATCACCTGCACCCTCAGCTCCCCGGGGACCGGTTGGTACAGCAGCGAGAACTGGATGGAACCGCGCACGGGCACCGCGCCCGCCTCGCCCTCGCTGTACAGGCTCAGCTGGCTGCCGCTCAGCTGCGGGCACGACGGGGCGGTCAGGGGCTCCGCGAGGGCACGGGCATGGGAAGGGGGCCCAGAGAGGGACAGGCGTGGGGAGGGGGCTCCGCGAGGGCATGGGAGTGGGGAGGGGGCTCAGCGAGGTCACGGGCCGGGGAAGGGGCACAACCTACACCGAGCGGCATGGAGTCTAGGAGACTCACTTAGGGTACAGGTATAGGGAGGGAGCCCAGTGAAAAGGCGACCTATCAGAGTCAGATAGAGAGCAAGCCAGGGTCTGGGCAACCCCCATGCCCCTCCCCAAGGTACAGGACCCCCATCCCCGCCCCTTACCGTGGAGGAGCTGAGGCTGGACACTGAGGAGCTACTACTTAGCATGCGGTTGATGGGGGGAGCGGAGCCCCGTCCCGGGGAACCTAAGGGCTCCTCCTCCCCGTTCTCCAGGCTTTGGAGACCCGGCTCACTCTGAGGAGGAGGAGGGGGAGAGAATAGTGAGGGGGCAGGGGAGCCATCTCCGGACTAACTAGGCTGCCGACGGCCCCTCTCCAAATCCCTCCCGGAGAAGCCCCCATCCCCCATTTCCTCCCTAAGTTCCCTGGCCCCTTACTTGAGGAGGCCCAACTCGGGGGTCCCGGGTGCACGGACCTCCCTCCCTGGGGCCTCTGAGAGCCCCGAGCTCTGAGGCAAGAGAAGGTGGGGAGTGGGGGAAAGAGGTGCTCCAGGCCGTGGCCTCCGCTCCACATTTTGGGAGCAGCCTGCTGGGAAAGCTCCGAGAGTCAGTCCTGCCTACCTGGACCAGGGGAGAGTTGGGCTCCTCCTCCTTCTTCCCGTTCCTTTTCCCCTTTCCCTCCAGCTCAAGCTCTGGCCCCAGCTCCGGCTCCGGCTCCGGCTCCGGTTCCTGGACCTTTCTGGCTCTAGCCTCCTCCTCCTCCTTCTTCTTTTCCTGTTTCTCCTCTTCCACCACCACCTCCTCCTTCTCCCAGCCCTCTACGCCGGAGC